CCCTATAATAATGTCAGCTTGGAAATAAAGCACACAGGCATTCTTGTCAACAGATTGAATAGCAATCGAAAAGCAAAGTTTTCTCTCCACGAATAAAGACCAATTTCTACAGATCGTTCTCCCTTCAAAAGATAGCAGATGAAACGAAGAACTTATGAGATATACGGCGATATTGACATGGTTCAACTGGCTCGGATGTGGGCCATATGGATTAGTAGGAGTAGAGCTTGGCTGTACTTAATGTTTCCAATCGCCGCCAAATAACAAAAAGGAGGATTGAAGATGCGTTGTTATTAACTCGACTATAATCGCTTAAGGGGTTACATAGGTCTTGAAGGCCGAAAAAGCTTATTTTCTCTAATTTTTTCCCCTGAACGATCAAAAATTAATAAAATTAAAAATGGAATTTTTTGTAGCGTTTTTTTTTTTTACAAAAAACGTCATTTCTGGCATAAAATTAGGCCACATATTCCGTTGTAAAATGAGATGAAATCAAAGATAAAATGAATTCTTCCTTCAGGATCTACAAAAACATGCCTAAAAGAAGTGTGGAAAATTTGAACTCACTCGCTTCAATAGTCGTTGAGAAATTTTGACTACCGATTTCGATAAAGTGGATTTAAGAAAAACGCGTTTGAAGTTTTATCATCGGTCAATCCATGACGAAGATGGCTGGTTATAACACTCTCTAATTTCTACAGTTTCGTCTCGATCGATTTGAAACTTAGGGAAAATATTGCTGCTACTTTGTACTTTTATCCAAAGTGTTATCAAAAAGACGAGTTTTTTGAAGTTTCAAGACCTATGTAAACCCTTAAGCGGTACGGTGTCTACGCCAGCAAAAGGATCTTGGAAAATTTTTCTTGCTCTAGTCTTGTATCAAATACTAAAAATCATTAAAAAATTAGGTATATTTGTCTTAGTTGTATATGTCCTTAAAAACGTCTTAATTTCATATAGCTGAAATCCTCTTTAGTTAAGGCTTTGCAAGTCACACATCTGTATTTTAAACGTTTTCATTGACTATTTTTTTGCGTTTAGAAAATTAAAATTTGTACATATTAGAAAAACTTGTGGAATTGTTTACCAGAACGAAGACTAATAGAGAAATCACTTAGCAAACCAATATGAACAGTACACAAACTACTTGCAGTGTCTCTTAAAAGGTTATTATCATAGGATAAAATTGGATACATTTATATTTGCTTCCGAGGAAGCAGTTAATCCCAAATGTCAAGCTTAAATCTTTAGTTTCATGAGCTTAATGAATTATTCCTGAAAACGGTATTACATTTATGTATGCAGTGTAAGACATATAATTTGAAGAAAAAAAGAAAATTATTATAACTCACAAAATAAATATAAATAATTTGCAATAACCCTTGTCAGAGTAGCAATTATAAAAATATCATGCCATTTCAATAAAAAAATTATATCATATTTTCAACGTTTCATAATACGAATAAAGTGGGTAAGTTAAAAAGTCATTAAGGTGTTGTTTTTAGAGCGCGTAGTTAGATAATGAGCACATAGTTAGTAGTTCTATATGCAGTTATTATAATACTATTATGTTACATGTATATGTGGGATTGAGGTCAACCCAGTACTATGTTACCATACGGCAAACTATATCACTGAAGGTAAAAAACAAATGGAACCCTGACTTATCGAAGCTTACGTTAAAATGATATTCAACGGATAGTTCGGTTGAAAAGTTAGTTGCGACGAATGCGGATGTTTAACGTTTAAGAAGTAATATCATTTAATTTAATTTAATAAGTAAACAATATAATAAAATTAATTTGTTTAGAACATTAAGTTGTTTTACTTTACAAGGACTTAGTAAAAAGCCACATACATAAAAGCGTGTATGTCAGGTACATTGAATGTCTATTTAATTTATGAAATCTCAGTTTTTATTTTAAAATAAAAGGCTATCTACTACCACTGGTTTTAAAGAGCATCATCGTACAGGAACTGTTTGTCGAACTTTGCTGAACAACCTTTCTGATTCGGTTGCTGATACTTGTATAGTACACAAAAACAGACAGTATACCAAATACCTCCTACTCTAAAGATCATGCAGGTTGATCAGCGATTAATACGCTTATTTGCAGAAATCTCAAGAGTTGCATCATAAGAATAACTGTCAATTCCTTAAGTGTTTCGATTTCTTCTGTAAATGGCGGTAGAGATTTCTTCTTGTATTTAACAACACTTATGCAATAAACTCAATGACCAAAGGGGCTCTTTTGATTAACACATACTATTCCATCTAGTAGCTACGGCTGGAATTAAATTATAGGGAAGTTCGCCGTCCTGCACTTTTTACAGTTTTTCATTTCCGATTGTGCTGCTTTCGATCAATATTTTATCTTGACAAAACATGATAAGTTTTTAACTTACAACATATCACATGCTTTTTCATGGTAGAGACGTTATCTGTAAAAATGATGTTCCAATCCATTAAATGTGTTCTCAGTGATGGGGCAGTATATTCAGCCGTGTGGTTCATGGAACTCATGAGTTTCGCCGTTGACAATACTGCTGACTGTAGTTCATAAGTTTCGCTGAGGTAATGACATGTCATTGTCAAGTAACCATCATTCGACATGGATGTCCAGTAAACCGTGGTTACTCCAACGTAATCAACGCATGGAAATCCGTTTACAATGCTGAAAAAGGAGGTTACAATGTTACCAGCAAAATAGGAGGTAACAAAAAGTCTGCTGTTTTGTTTTGTGTTGTTAGTTTGAGAAAAAATAAAAACCAAAATGCAATTCATTAAAGATGAAGAAAAAAGTGGAAAAAGTCGTTTGCGAGAAAAAAAAATACCTTTTTAATTTGGAAGATAGCGTTATCATTCAGCTTTTTTTTGTCGTTTAGGCATATTTTCCATAATTCAAATATTTATTATTTAATAAACCAATAAATAAAACATATATATTTTGTTGCGCGCCGTATAACATTTCGATGTGGTAATTTTTCTTTTTTACTTTACCAACTGGCAAATGTAATTTGATAAGTACAAAAAAAGCGGTGCGACCAGAGTTTTTACAAACATTGTGACCAGTTCGACAGAATACCAAATTCAATTTCGGGTTAAAAAAAAAAAAAAACAATATATACTTTACCGGTAACAGTGAGAATAGGACCGTAAGTAAAGAGAAACCAACGAAATTACGAATGCAAAGTATTCAATGTACATACAATTGCGACAGCGGTGGCCGAGTTTAATTTATTTTATTTAATTAATTTGAATAATAAAATTAGTTAAGTTTTCTAATTGCGGTCGCTCTTGGCAGGGAAGGTCCACCATTCCGAATGTACGTCTGTCATGAAATAAAGGCTCCTCATAGAAACCCATCAGCCGTTCCGAAGCGGCTTAGTAAAAGCTGTAGATCTCTCCATTTGTTGGAAAAAAATCAAAACGAAAAACGTCAAATTGGAGGAGAAGCTGGGCCAAAATCGCTTCAGCGGTAACAAAGAGCCAATTATATATATGTGCATATATTCAAATGCATGTGAACAATATGTTTTTGCATGTCGTTAATAATGAAAATGGCGGAATATATTTTTTTAACGCACCAAATACCAAAACTATTCGCACTATTCGTGTATACAAACAAGCACGCACAATCTCGTTAGTAAAAAATTTTCTATTTGACACCGTGACGGAAATGCTCATGAGTACGCTGCAAATGCTCATAAAAGAATCCTTGGTCACATGGTCCTTACCTTCCGTCGGGGCGTGAAAGCAGTGTGGTGTGAATGTCATTACTCGGTGACGGGGCTTCTCTCCCTCCTACGATGAATTTGATATGAAATTTGCGCTATTTCACTTGGCAGCTGCAGTAAATGTCACAAGGACCCACCTTCTCCTGTCCTTGTCCCTTGTTGGACGACGGTTATGTCTTCCTTTAGTTTAGCAAGAACATCAACCAGTTGGGCAGCGGCAACTTCCCAATTAAGGGACCGGAATAATTCGGAGTGGCTCCACTGAAGTTTCCTCTCTTTTAGCTGTGACCCAAGGCTTCCCAGGGGTTGATTAACGTGTCTTGCACAAGTGTTGTTCACGTTACCCAGAAGCTTGACAAGCAGTATTTTAAGGATGATAATGACACTTAGTGATATTTTTATGCTCGTTATATTATTTTAAAATAAAAAAAAAACAAAGAAAAAAGATTGTTCTCTCACATTTGCTTAAAAAATATGACAATTGAAGATATGCTGCCTTACAAGAGCTATATCGGAATACTGACCTCAATGTTGACCATGTGTTATAAGTTTAATTTCGAAGTATCCTATTTACATTATTTAGCAATTATGGTAATAAAATTTAGATTATTATTACCAAATTCGAAAATATTGAAATACTCTTTCAGTTTTTTGCTAGCAAGATTTAATAACAAAAAATGCGATTAAAATGATAGGTCTTCTATGCAATCAGCAGGCAAGAATACTTCCACTACAAATATTTGTTTGATATACTACTCGCAACCAAATTCCCAAATATAAATATTTTTGACTGAGCAGCTTCTCTACGGTGCTCTTCCACTGAAAGGAATGCATATTGAACAACAGCGAGGTCATGAATTAAAATGATATGAACTGACGAATGAAGATCCTGGTATTATCGTCATTCATATACTTGGATGCTAGTTCCCTTGTAATATCCAGCTTAAATTTTCTAAATTTCTGCACATTATATTTATTTCCTGACTATACGTATTTCCCTATGCTAGTTATTGCAGCAACCGCTAAACTTTTTTTTTGCAGTGTTTCTATCATTTGAAGGTCCTCGGCCACGTATACTTAATTTTCCATCCACTAGACCCATTTTTTACCAAAGTCGTACTCAATATTTTTTTCTTTCTTTGAAACGTGAAGAAAATATTCAAGAAATCGAATGTACAAAAACATGAATAACGGAGAAAGTGGAATATGGCGGAAAGTCAAAATATAAAATCATTTAATTATACAATATAGGCTATGCCGTTTTTGTGATATTCAGTTCGATTTGCGCCGATTTAATGCTATAGCTTAATTTTTTATTTTGCAAAGCACCGTGTCCTGCACAGCCAGTGTATTTTGTTGTCTCCCATTTCTCGCTATTGGCATACAAATGGGACAGTGAAATAATTACTTTACCTCTTTGAAATTACTCTTTTAATATACAGTTGGTATTAAAGTAACACTACATCATACAAGTGATAGCCTCACCATTTTTTGCAAACTGTTGGTTTTCAAGTGCTGTTGGTTTTCAAGTGCTGGAGAGTTAAAGGCTTATCCGCATTAACACGGTTTTTCGCGCAGTTCCACATAAAAGTCCAACGCATGTGACACCATATTAACCAAATCGTGTTTTTCATTCGCAGGTAAAATAAACCGATAATCGCTTAAGTGGCTACAAATTGGCGTCGCTGTCATTTTAATTGAAACCTGTCTTCAATTATTTCAGGATTCTCGAAGCTACAAGTGTTACAATTTTGCCTATTTAGATATCCCTCGAGTCTTACAATAATCGCCGAAACATGGCCACGTTTGAAATAGACATTCGCAGTTTTGACGCGTTGTGTGATTGTTAAGCGATCCATTTTAATAAAAGCTTGACTTTTAACAAAAACAAGGCATGTTTTGTTTGAGAACTGATCTTTACAGATGTCAAAACTATGTTTTCGTAGTCGTTCTGATAACCACTCCGCTAATATACATAAATGTAATCTGCAAATATATGGAGTTTTTAGAAATATGTTAATGATTCCTTTATTTTACTTGACAGGTAGAGAGTACCTTAACACCACTACGTGAAACTGCCACAAAAACATTTCTTATAGTATTCTTCTGTTATTTAAGTAAGTGTGAGTGGAGCTATATAGACAGATACCTGAAAAAATTTAAATCAGTTACTTATATATATTTCAATGCATGCAAACGAGACCTGCACATAAGTCTCGAATTCTCAGTAATAAGAGCCACGTTGACTAGCAGAGCCCAAATATCAGTCTCTACCACCGCTGTTATAATATTTGTTTAACGCTTTTCTCGCATATTTTTATTTGCGTACACTATTACCGGTTGGGCTGATCGAATTCTCTTTAATCTCTTAATTCAGTTAGAAGAGAAAAATTGAATCCCTTCAGGCAAAGCGTTAACCGTCTATAGACCATTTATGTCGATATGGTAGGAGGAGCTTACTAAAAGAATATATACAAAATGGTGAAATTAATAGCTACTATTCCGAGAATTTATATCTCATGATATAAAAAAATATGCTCTGCGGTTTTTGTAACTAGATGGTGTTGACACTTTTATGTCGGGCAGCACGTGTTTTATAGCGGCAATTCAAGCAATATTTTTGTAAAGACAGCTCTGCAAATTTTCATTTCATTTGTTTGAAAAGTTGTTATGATATGAAGCTTAGTGAAATTTCCGAAGAAACACGATATGTTATGATGAAAGCGCTATAAAAACGTGCCGAAAACATTGAGGTCGAAAGTGCTGTAAGTCAAATATGCATATCGTTCTGGTCTCCCAGTTACTCAAAGAGACCCAGTTTTTAGCCGTTAAAACACTGACGGAGTCAAAAAGCTTCCTGAAATATGCCAGAAGGTCATAGCGATTCTCAACAATTTTTCATCCCTTTTAATAATTTTGGCGGTGTAGATATTGCAATCTGATAATTACCTGTGTACCTCATTTCATTAGTAAATAAATATAAACGGGTATTATTAATATTAGACAATTTTCATAGGAAAGGCAGTTTCGCATTTATTTTACAGTTTTAGCAAAAGACAGCAATTTCTTACTCATTTCTCCTATTATATTCTGGAAATGCAAAATGGAAACGTTTTCAATTAGTTTTCTTAAAGTCTTTTTTCGCTTCATTCAACAGAAACGGAACTAATTTTAAACTTTTGGCCTCTTTCCGATTTTATTTTTTCAAATATGTTCCGAACATATTCACAGTATTATATATGATAATTAAGTTTTCATTCGAAATTTTTTCGTTGCCTCTAGCTAAACATGTCAGCATTAAAAGGCTTTAATCTTTATTTAAAACAAATAACAATAAGGCAATGCAATAAAATTTTTCGTTCCTTCTTTCAGTGAAGTCATCTAGTTCTTGATTTCAAATTATCCATTTTTCTTAAATAGGCAATACGTGGCTCATTTTTCATACTAACCTTACACAAATTAGTCTAATACATCTCTTAATAAGGAGTAATTCATACTCCAAGGTTATGCTGGATAGAGTGAAGCCTTAGTTACAACCGCATATCCAAGGATATCGGTCTCGTGCGTGCATAACTTAAGGCTTTGGCTAATTGCTTCCTATTATTTGATTTTTTTGCATTGTGGCAAATAAATATGTTAGTATTGTACAAGGAAAGTTCAACGTCGAAATGCGTCAGAGCAGACTGCCGAGCGGTTTTCTACTCGAATTATACCTGCTCTCTGATAGCACTTATCAGCAACCCGGTATAAGAGAACTGTTGGACGGCATTTCAAACTCCCTGCGTACAGCCGCAAACGAAACTATTTCGGAAAGGTCGCAAAAACAGTTGGTACGATGAGGAATGTCGTGTCGCGGGGAGAGAAAACAGATTGCTTACCACGCAACCCTGCGATCGCCCACAACAAGTGCGGGGTAGGAAAGATGAGGAGAGCAGAAAAGGGAAGCATGACGCGTTTACAAGGAAAAGAAAGCAACAGGCCCAAAGACGTGAGTACGAGAAGCTGACCGAAAAGGGTAACGCCCGAAAATTCTACGAAAAGATACGGGGACTTACGGAAGGCTTAAAAACCTGAACATACTCTTGTAGGAAACAAGGAGGTGATCTATTAACCGATGTCCAGACTATGAAGAACTCTAAAAAGCAATTGCTGGCCTCAAGAAAATCAAAACGGAAGAAGGATTACCGGCCGAGCTATTTAAATAAGGCGGTGAAGAACTGATCAGGTGCATGTATCAGCTTCTTTGCAAAAATATGGTCGGGTGAAAGCATTCCTGACGATTAGAACCTAATTGGGATTTGCCAAATCCACATAAAAGGCGATCCCACAGTCTGCGCCAATTACAATAGAATAAGTTTTCTTAACATCGCCTATAAGGTATTCTCAGGCGTATTGTGTGAAAGGCTGAAGCCCACCGTCAACAAACTGATTGGACTTTATCAGTTTGGCTTTAGATCTGGTAAGTTAACTATTGACTAGATATTCACCATACACCAAATCTTGGAAAAGACACGTGAAAAGAGGATCGGCACCCACCACCTCTTCGTACATTTTAAAGCAGCCTCTGACAGCACGAGAAAAAGCTGCTTTTACTGCGCTATGTTTGAATTTGGTGTCCTCGCAATACTTAAACGGCGTGTGTAAACTGACCTTGAGCAACACAAGAAGCTCCGTCAGAATCGTAAGGGATCTCTCCGAGCCGTTCGATACCAAACGAAGTTTCAGACAAGGCGATTCTTCATCGTGTGATTTCTTTAGTTTATTGCTGGAGCAAATAATACGAACTGGTACAATCTTCTGTAAGAGTGCATAGCTGCTGGTAAATGCCGATGATACTGTCATTATTGTCCTCAACAAACGCACTGTGAGTTCTGCGTTCTCCATACTAGATAAGGAGGCGAAGCAAATGGGTCTGGTAGTGGATGAGCTCAATGGGAAATATCTCCTGTCATCAAATAAACAGTCATCGCACTCGCGACTCGGCTCCTACGCCACTGTTGACAATCATAACTTTGAAGTCGTAGATAACTTTGTCTATCTGGCAAGTATTAACACCAATAGCAAATTCAGCCTGGAAATCCAACGCAGAATCACTCTCGCCATTATAGGTTACTTTGGAATGAGCAGACAATTGAAAAGTAAAGTCCTCACTCGGCGAAAAAACTACGCAGAAGCGTGGACGATATCAATATCTGATGAGTCGACTATAGGATTCGAGAGAAAAGTTTTGGGAACGATTTATTGTCCTTTGCGCATTGGCAACGGCAAACACTGTAGACGATGGAACGATGAGCTGTAAGAGCTATTTGATGATGTTGACATAGGTCAGCGAATGAGGAGACTGCGGTTACGCTGGCTAGGTCATGTGGTCGGAATGGATGAAAGCACTCCAGCTTTGAAAGTTTTCGATGCAGTACCCATTGGAGAAAGCAGAAAAAAAGAAAGACCTCCACTCAGTTGGAAGGATCAGGTGGAGAGCGAGCTAACTGATTTGGCTATAATCGCGTAAGCGGTGTTTACGGCAATAAAGAAGAAGAAGAACTTTTAACTTGGGGTTATTCTTTTATAATTGGACTAAAGCGATACCGTTTCTCTTATTTCATTACCAAAATCTAAGCGTCGGCATCTTTTTTTGCTTTTTTGTTGGTCAAAGTAGAAAATTTGAATTCATACCAATAAGATTTTGATATTTTTAACAACACCCTTAAAGTTTTTGTTATATTATAAGATCGTCGAATCTGTTCAGAAGGAATTTATTGATTCTTCTGAATGTTTTATAATGAAATCTCTGGTATATATACTCGTACATATAATTAGCGCTTTGTAACCGCTGAAGTGATGGTTTATTTATGAGGAGCTTTATTTCATGTCATAAATACACTCGGAGGGGTTGACCGCAATTAGAAAATTTAACTTAATTTTTTATTAAAATGAATTTATTTCTGGTATATTCTCCGAAATTATTATTTTTTCTTTCAAAGACCAACGCGTCATTACCTCTTTTCGAATCCAATAAAAATTTGTCAATCCTATATTCTTTTGAGCTGGTATTGTTAAATAAATTATTTTATAACATTTACTTGGAACTGACTCAAACTTTTTCTTCGTCATAGCATATCTTTTTATCATAACTTCATTTATTCAATAATTGAGGGAATATAATATTTTTGGTTTAACCACCATTGGTTAACTTCCCGGAGAGAGAAATAGTCGGACTTTTTGAATAGGCCAGCCCCGGTCCACTTCCCGAAGAGAATAGTAGCTGCTCATCGAAGCAAAAAGCCATCATTCATCGAATTCAAATAAATGAAACCATAAAACTTTATTTTTATTACTATAGACTAGTCCCTGCCACCTATGTACCAAATTTCAAGTTCCTTATCCACTTTCCGAAGAGAAATGAAGTCTTCCTATTAATCTTAGCAAAAAGCCACCTATGTACTGAATTTCAAGTAAATCGAGCTACAAATAAGATTTTTTCGAATAGGTCATACGAGTTATTTTTCGAATAGGCCAGTCCCTGGTCCACTTCCAAACAAAAACCTTCCCAGCAACCCTTAAAACGGTATGACAAAATTTTAAGTCAATCGGTACGTAAATTTTGGAGTTTTTGAAAATTACTGTATTTTTCCAAACTTACATAATATTTTTATATCTAAGATTTCAAAACACGGTTTTAGCACTACTTTAAACTCTAATGTTATTGTTTTGAATTAAGGGTTTTCCAAGGTAGAAGTAAAAGTTAACTATTGTAATTTATCTGCATTATGTTTTTTTACCGTAGTGGACAGTAGCTTGTAGTTCGTTTCGAAACCTGGTTTCGACCAAAATTATAGAAAATTTATTCATCGGCCGTGCGTGTGTATGTTCCTCAATTAGTTGGAAAAGAATTTAGACCCATACCACAAATAGCAGGGGGAGCTCTGCCGAAAAATCCCTTCAGCGACTATAAGGCGCCAGTTAAAAAGACTTCGAAACACATATCCGTTTTTCAATCATCCGTTCTAAAAATCTTAACATGACTCCGCTGCAAAACAAGCTTTACATAAATCTGGTCTTTTGAGAGGACTATCACAGAAAACATACTCCATGCTCCCTTTATGGTTTGACGGTTATGAAGCA